CCTCTGTGTCCCACTGATGTCCCCCCCACGTCCCACTGATGCCAAACCCTCCATTCAACGTCTCCTCTCCACATTCCATCAGTGCCACATCCATTCCCTGTCCTCTCTGTGTCCCATTGATGCCACATCCATCCCACGTCCCCTCTGTGTCCCACTGATGTCCCCCCCCACATCCCACTGCTGCCACATCCCCTCAGTGTCCCCTCCACCTTCCATCAGTGCCACATCCATTCAGCCTCCTCTCCCCATATCCCACTGATGCCACCTCCATCCCACGTCCCCTCTGTGTCCCACTGACGTCCCCCCCGCACCCCACTGATGCCAAACCCTCTCTGTGTCCCACTGCAGTGAACCCGTGACCCTCAGGACCCGCCGCGTCTGCGCCCAACCCCGAGATCAGCATCTCTGTGCTCTGTGAGCAGCACTGTGCCGCCAGCCGTGGGTCCCTGTGGCTGTGGGTCGGTGCTGCCGTGGGTCGGCGCTGAGGGTTGGTGGTGCTGAGGGTCGGTGCTGCCGTGGGTCGGTGGTGCTGAGGGTCGGTGGTGCTGTGGGTCGGTGGTGCTGAGGGTTGGTGTTGCTGTGGGTCGGCGCTGCCGTGGGTCGGCGCTGCTGTGGGTCGGTGGTGCTGAGGGTTGGCAGTGCTGTGGGTCGGCGCTGCTGTGGGTTGGTGGTGCTGAGGGTCGGTGGTGCTGTGGGTCGGTGGTGCTGAGGGTTGGTGTTGCTGTGGGTCGGCGCTGCTGTGGGTCGGTGGTGCTGTGGGTCGGTGGTGCTGTGGGTCGGTGTTGCTGTGGGTCGGTGGTGCTGTGGGTCGGTGTTGTTGTGGGTTGGTGGTGCTGAGGGTTGGTGTTGCTGTGGGTCGGTGGTGCTTAGGATTGGTGTTGCTGAGGGTTGGTGTTGCTGTGGGTCGGTGGTGCTTAGGATTGGTGTTGCTGAGGGTTGGTGGAGCTGTGGGTTGGTGGTGCTGTGGGTCGGTGGAGCTGTGGGTTGGTGGTGCTGAGGGTTGGTGTTGCTGTGGGTTGATCGTGCCGTGGGTTGCGGTGCTGTGGGCTGGTGGTGCTGTGGGTTGGTATTGTTGTGTGTTGGTGGTGCTGTGGGTTGGTGCTGCTGAGGGTTGATCATAACATGGGTTGGTGGTGCTGAGGGTCGGTGCTGCTGTGGATTCGTGGTGCCGCGGGTTCGTGGTGCCGCGGCTCGGCGTAACCGCGGGTCGGTGGTGCCGTGGGTTCGTGGTGCCGTGGGTTCGTGGTGCCGTGGGTTCGTGGTGCCGCGGCTCGGCGTAGCCGCGGGTCACCCCGGCGCCGCTCGGCCCATGGTTCCGTCGGAGGTCCCGGCGCTGCAGCGCGCGGTGACGGCGGGCAGAGCGCGGCTGGCGCGGCTGCTGCTGGAGGGCGGCGCGTACATCAACGAGGGCGACGCGCGGGGCCGCACGGCGCTGATGGCCGCGTGTCGGACGCGCTACGCCGACCCCGCGGAGCGGACGCGGATGGTTCGCTTCCTCCTGCGGCGCGGAGCCGACCCCGACATCGCCGACGCGGCCGGCATGACGGCGCTGATGCACGCCTGCGCCGAGCGAGCCGGGGCCGCCGTGGCCGCCGCGCTGCTGGAGCACGGAGCCGACCCCAGCGCCAGGGATTTCGGCGGCGGCTCGGCGCTGCTGTACGCCGCGCAGCGCGGGGATCGCCAGACGCTGCAGGCGCTGCTGGACGCGTGCGAGGCGAGAGGACGCGAAGTCATCATCATCACCACCGCCACGTCGCCGTCGGGCACCAAAACCACGCGGCAGTACCTGCACGCGGCCCCGCCGTCCCCGGCGTCGTCGGCGTCGTCGTCTCCCGCCCCGTGCGCGTCGCCGTCCGAAGTGGAGCTGCGCGCCGTCGCCGCGTCGCCCGCCGGCGGAGAAACGGAACGCGAGGAGCGCGTCTTCCGCTTCCCGCCCGCCGTCGCTCCGCCGTCGACGGGCGACGCCGCCGCCCCGCCGCCCGGAGCCCGACGGCGGCCGCCGCGGCGCCTCGACTCGGAGCCGGCGGGGAGCCCCGCCGAGGGGGCGGCGGAGGGGACGGAGGGGCCGCGGCGGCACAGCGCGGAGGGCCGCGACGCCGACGGGACGGGATCCCCGCCCGGCGAACCCCGGGTGTCCCCGCCGTCCCCGTCGCCGCCGTCGCTCCGCGGGCCCCGACGTGCGGTGCCGCCCCGCCCCGAATCCCCTCCCGCTCCGCGCCGCCGCGCTCCCGGCTTGTTGCGGCGCCGCGGGTCCGGGCCGCTGCTCCTGGAGCCCCCCGGGGCGGGCAGAGCCCCGCCGACGGCACCGCTGCTGCCCCCCCTGCTCGACCCCCCTCCTCCGGGACCTCCGTCGCCCAAAGGCCGCCGTCAGCTGCTGCGCCGCCACTCCGTGCAGAACGAACAGATGTGGCACGGCGCCGACGGCGGGGGGAGGCCGTGAGGGAAACACGGGGACACCGAAGTGACACCGCGGGAACCACGCGGAGACCCCAACGGAACCCACAGAGACCCCAACGGAACCCACAGAGACTCCAATAGAACCCAGAGACCCCAACAAACCCCACAGAGACCCCAACAGAACCACAGAGACCCCACGTTTGACCTCATGAGGACCCCATAACGACCCCACGGGGTCCCTGCAGTGACCCCACAACATCCCCACGGGGACCCCACGGTTGACCTCATAAGGACCCCATAAGGACCCCCCGGGGACCCCATAACGTCCACACGGGGTCCCCGCAGCGACCCCACAACATCCCCACGGGGACCCCATAATGACCTCACAGGGACCCCAAGACGACCCCACAGAGACCCCATAACGACCCCACGGAGTCCCCGCAGTGACCCCACAACATCCCCACGGGGACCCCACGGTTGACCTCGTGAGGACCCCATAACGACCCCACGGGGACCCCATAACGTCCACACGGGGTCCCCGCAGCGACCCCACAACATCCCCACAGGGACCCCACGGTTGACCTCATGAGGGCCCCATAACGACCCCATGGGGACCCCATAACGACCCTACGGGATCCCCGCAGTGACCCCACAATATCCCCACGGGGACCCCACGGTTGACCCCATGAGGACCCCAAAACGACCCCACGGGGACCCCATAACGACCCCATGGTGTCCCCGCAGCGACCCCACAACATCCCCACGGGGACCCCACAGTGATGCTGCCATCATCCTACA